CGAACCCTTCTCAAGGACTGGATTTTCACTTCGAGTCGTTTCTGTTGACACTCCCCGGGCCCGGCAAGGGCCCCCCAGAGGCCGAAAGAACAAGACGAACGTCCCCGCGTCGTTACATCTTGTTCGTAGGGCGTTGTGGTCTGGGTCACCTTTTCCCCCCTTATTTACTCTGCACCCTCCGCGGCGATCCGCGTGCATAGGGGAACAAAAGATGGCATAAACATAAAAACTCGGAGGTCCGCGCGGATTTCTCGGATCGGCGCTGGACCCCCTTCCCTGGCGCGCGGAGCGCGCCAGGGGCGGCGCCGGAGGCCCCGCCGGGGTGCCCCGGCGCCGATCCGAGAAATTCGCGCGGACCTCGGAGTTTTTATGTTTATGCCTTTTTTTGTTTCCCTTTGCAATACCCACTTTATATTTTTATGTTTACGCCCTTATCCACTTTATCCCCTTTGCACTATCCACTTTTACTCTATTCTTTTATGTTTATGCCCTTATCCACTTTGCACCCTCCGCGGCGATCCGCGTGCAGGAGATGCCGCAGCCGCCCCCGTGGGCCAGCGGCCCCTCCGGGGCGCCGCGCCCCGGCGCCGGGGCCGCGCCGCGCCTGGCGCCCGCGCCGCTCGCCGAGCCCGCGGGGCAGCTGCAGCGCGCCGCCCGGGCCCCGGCCGGCACGGGGAGCTCCGATTTTCCTCGGTGATCCAGGGGCGAAGCGTCCTGGCGTGCCTGTAGCCCCACCAAGCAATGTTCCAAGAGCCTTTTGTGGTTCCCACGAAGTGTTCTCAGAACATTTCTGGCTGGGACTGTCTTGTTTCGTCACATCGGGTTTCTGTTCTAAGAACACTGTTTTTGTTCTTGGGACATTTTTGGGTAACATTTCGTGGTGGGACTATAGGAATGCCGGGACGGTCGGTCCCTGCTCAATCGGTGATCCAGGGGCGGGGGTCTATGCAAGCGGGGTCAGCCAGGGCGCTGGATCTTGCTGGTTCTTGCAGAGCCAGGGGCGCGCTGGTCCGGGGGGCTCGCGCTCAGAATCCTGCAGAGCCTGGTTGACCCCGGTTAGCGTTGACCCGGGTCAGCCGGTTTCTGGTACTTTTTTGCCCCCAGAGGCCTTCAGCGGGCTCCGGGACCGTCCAAATAACGAATCGAGACGGGGAACCGGCCCCAAGGAAGCGGTCCAGACCCCGGGGGGCCCACGCATCGGAAAAATTGCAGCGGCCGGATGGCAGGGTTGCCAGACTTTCCACGTCAAAGCCGAGATGTTTTGTATAGTTTCTGGCCTCTCGAGGCCCTTACTGGGCTTCGGGAGTTCCAAACAACGGCTCGGGATGAAGAGCCGGTCCTGGGGAAATCGGGGACCACGGCCGGCACGGGAGAGTCGAAGCCACCCGCCCAGAGATCCAAGACATTTTGGGGCCCACGCATCGACAGCAAACAGCTTTCGAGCCAGGCGTTTATGTCAGGTCTCGGGCCCCAGGACCCTCACATGTCGATCCGTTTCGAAAGGTGACGCAGATGTTTGTTTTATATATGTATATACATACACACAATCGCACAGCTTTCGGGAGGTCGAAGCCACCTGCGCTCTGCCTGTTGGGATCGTCGCGGGGGTTGCTAAGGACAGGGGTGTCAGAAGGTTGCAAGCGAACGCCAAGGTTGGTTATGTCTGTCCCATCCTGACTTGTAGGTGGGTTACAGGTGCCCTGAGTGGCTGAGGGAGTTGCATGACTCCGCTAAGTGGCCAGCGTGCGGGGCCATTTTTCACCAGCCACTCAGGGCACTTGTAACCCACCTGCGAGCCAGGTTGGGCGACAAATGCAGCAGACGAGTGGGGTCTAGGGCTCTGGTCGTCATTTTCCGCGATGTGGCATTTTTGTTCGCAACGTCGGATGGGCAGGGCCATCTAGTGCTTGTGGGCTTGACCCATCTTGGGCCATATTGGAGCCATCTTGAGGCCTCGAGAGCCCATCGGAAGCGAACAGGCGAGAAGACAAACATCTTGATTTGTACGGATGGTCCCTCGGAGGTTCCGTGGCCACTTCGAAACGTCTGAATTAGGCCGGTATTGGGGAGTCGTGGAGGCATGTTGTTGGTTCTAGTGGACAATCTTGGGTTATCTTGTGCTATCTTGGAGGCCATCTTGGGCAATCTGCGGACATTTTGGAGCCATCTTGTGCCATCGTGGACGCTCCAACCCGTCGCGCCCCAGCCTCAGACGCAGGCGGAGGGGGTAAGTGGAGGGGCGCACTTCTTCCCTCAGGGGAACAAGGAGGCAGGAATAACTGACTGCCTAAACCACGTACGCCCTCAAGGGCTGGTGATAAAGGACATCGTGATAACTACTAACCGTGTCGGGGAAGAAGGAGTTTTGGAAGAGGGAAGGGCGACCTCGTTATGCCACGTGGGCCCAGAGGGTTGATGTCTTCATGTGCCATCACAGGCATCGGTTCGAGGTTAGAAATGTCCCAACGTGTTTTGGTTCCTTCGGGGCCTACTGGGGCGTCCCCGTGGCCACTGCTGCATCCGCCACGGAATTCTGGCCTCGGCGCACCCCAGGACAGGTCTTTGACCCCCTGTGCCCAGGCCCCCACGCGTCGCGGAAAGAAACACATGACGGAAGATGTTCTTGAGGGTCGACCTGTCGCCGGTTATCCCAAGGCTTCCTTCCTGGAGCTCTGAAGGCCGAGATGCCTTCTCGGGATGTCCGAATGGGACGCTGATCTTCGTGCGTTGCATGATGTGCCCAGGCCGAAACCTCCCACGTGTCGTGATCTTGTGCACGGCGCGGGCCCCCAAAAGGCCTCGACGCAGTCCAGTGGCCCTGGGGGCCCGGCCACTGAAGCCCCTGGGCCCTCGCAGGCGGAGAGCGGCGAGCAAAGCAGACAGACGGCATTCCCCGGGACCTCTTCGCGACGCGAGGGCGTCAACGGTTGCTGCTCTAGCAGGCGTGGGGCCGCAGCACCTTGGACAGAGGAGCGGCCCCCTTCCCCGGGGTCTAGTTCTCTTCCTCCTCCTCCTCCTCCCTCCTCCTCCCCGCACCTTTTTTTGTGCTGGCACGGGGCCGCCCGAGGAGGGGCCTCGCGGAGCCTCGGAGCCTCGAGGAGGGGGCGCCCGCAGAGCCGGAGCACAAACAACCACGGCAGCGGGTCCCTCTGCTTCGGACCTCGGGCCAAGGCTCGGGCCTCCGGCGGTCGTTCGGCGCGGTCCTCCTCCTCCTCCTCCTCCTCCTCCTCCTCCTCCTCCGCCTCCTCCTCCTCCTCCCTCCTCCTCCTCCTCCCTCCGTCCTCCTCCTCCTCCTCCTCCTCCTCCCTCCTCCTCCTCCTCCTCCTCCTCCTCCTCCTCTCCCCCTCCTTCCTCCCCCTCCCCCTCATCCTCCCCTCCCCCTCCCCCTCCCCCTCCCCCTCCCCCTCCTTCCTGGGTGGAGTGCGCTCTGATGCAAGACGCGGCAGAAGGAGCTTTGTGCTTCTGCTGCGGGCGCCCCTTCCTCGGAGCTCGAGCTCGAGGAGGGGGCGCCCACCGCCGGAGCACAGGACCACAGCAACGGATTTCTCTGCTTCGGTTTTCGGGAAAAAGCTCGGGTCTCCGGCGGCCGTTCGGCGCGAGCCTGTCGGGGGTGGACAGACCTCCTACCCTGACACGTCGACTAGCGAATTGGCCGCTTTCGGTCCGCGAGAGGGCGTCGCGGTCGTCGTTTTTGCGGGTCCGGGTTCGTCGGTTTCGGTCCTAGGCCGTTTTCGATTAGGGGAGGTTTACTAAAGGGAGGTTTGTCCACCGCCGATCCTGGCACGCCCGGGACGCTCTCGGCGAGGCACGGTTGCTGGAAGGCAAGCCGAGGCTGGAGTTCCGCCGAGAACCCAGGACGGGCAGCTTCTGGAAGCTTCGAGCGTCGAGCCATGGGTCCTGGTGCATCCAGGACCCCAAGAGAATACGTATAAACATGGATGCATATCTATCCAGGGAGAGAGCGAGAAAGAGAGAGAGAGAGAGAGAGAGCGAGACAACAAGCAAAAGAGAAGGAGAGAAAGAGAGAGAGAGAGAGAGAGAGTGAGAGAGGGAGGAGGAGCTTTATTGCGGTCTGTGAGCTCCCATGGCATCACCCTCAATCCTGCTCTCGTTGTCCATATTCCTGAGAAGGCTCGTAGTGGGCGGCATTGCGCGATTGATTTAGTCTTGCGGCAACAGATGTATTGTTCTGGGAAGAGGAGGCGGCGACCGCTAGTGGTCGGGGGTAGGAGAAACGACACCACCGCCACCAGAGGGGGCCCCCGTCCAGCGAGGGGGTCCACGATGCCCCCCCGAGCTGGGGACAGGGGATGCCCCAAGCGAGAGGGGGGGCCACACCGCCAGGGGGACCCGCCCTGTCCCCTCCCGCTGGTGGTCCCCGTTGATGGTGGTGTCGCTCTCTCTTGTTCCTGTCTGTGGCGTTTCCAGAAGGGCCTGGCTTTCGAGAGTCGAAGGGGTTGGCATCTCGTCCTTGGAGGAGGGGGGCGGAAGTAAAGCGAGGGTTGCCCGCTGGCGGAAGGCCATGGGAAGCCGGCGGAGGCAAACAATGATCCCCAAGGGGTGGCAACAGTTTTGGGTGCAGGGATTCCAGAGCCGGCCATTTGGGTCACGAGAGAAACATAGGCACAGGCGCAACACACACGCTGATATCACATAACATCGGGGAAACTTGGGGGAGTGGAGGGGAAGACGCAAACCCAGGGAATCTGATCAAGTGTGGGGAATATGGATTACCCCAACATGCTTATGCTATATGTGCGTCGCCACCCCCAGGGGCGGCGCGCGCACCGAGAAATCTTATAGTACATGCGTCGTGGCGGGCGCTTTCTGGCCACACCGCTCGGGAGACGATCTACTACAAGATGGGTGTACTATATGTTCGGCCTGGACGCGCGCCTCCAAGGAAAACTTACAGTACTAGTATGTCTCTGTGCGTCCCAGTGGAGTCAGTGCCTCCCTGAGCCCCTTCAGCGTGTGTTGGGGGGGACCTCTCGAGGCGG